TGTAGTCCCAGCTACTTGGGAGGCTGAGGCAGTAGGATTGCTTGAGCCCAGGAGTTTGAGAGATTCTGTGGGCTTGACCAGGGGCACAAGTGATGGTGGGAGGACTCAACCTACAGTGAGACAGACCAGAATGAGCAGAGTCTTCCACACACAGCACCCCAGGTGTTGGTCATCGTGAGGTAATGAGCACAAGCTTGTGTTTGGGTGAAACACTCTCCGGCCCTGAGCTGCCTCCCCACCACCCTCCACTCACCACTGCTATTCTCCAGGACTAAGTGCTTGCTCTCTCCCCAGGTGCCTCAAGACCCCCCTGGAGTCCTTTGCAATAACTGAGTGCTGCCTTTCAGAACTAGAAATGGAGCGTCTGTTCCTGTGCCCAAGCACGCATCAGCTAAAGGAGCTGGATCTGACTGGCATCAAACTGAGCAGTTTCAATCCTGAGCCCCTCCAAATTCTACTAGAGAACATTGCAGCCACCCTGCAGGTCTTGATCTTAGAGGACTGTTGGATCACAGACTACCAGCTTAGTGTCATCCTGCCTGCCTTGAGCCGCTGCCACCAGCTCATGACTTTAAACTTCAGTGGGAACCAAATCTCCAAGGCCATTCTTGAGAACCTGTTGGGCCACACCGTCGGGCTGAGCAGGTTAAGCCTAGAGATATATCCTGTCCCTCGGGAGTGTTATGATGATGGTTTCAAAGATATCAACCAGAAGAGATTTCTCCAGCTTCAGGCTGGGCTGATGGAGATACTGAGGGACTTAAGGCAGCCCAAGAGGATGGAGTTCCGAACCCTCCCCTGCTCTTAGTGTGGTGAGAGGTCATCCCATACAACTGCGGGGAGCTTGGAATGAATATGTGGGAATGATTGTAAAGGAAGAGTGAGAAATAAAGGGAACATGAGCATAAACTGTCTTGTGTCTTCCGTGATCAATTAACCTGCTTTTCAGTTTGAATCTCAGGAATCTCCAGTTACTGATGAGGGAACAGAGGCACTCCAGAGTCTGATCAATGAGGTTACGCTCCAGGAACGGAAGCTATCAAAATGAAACTGTTATCATTTTGATCGATTCCCTCCTTTAACCTCTTCCTGGATATCTGTTATGCCTTTGCCTATTTCTGTGCTGTTCAGTGGGATAATACACACAGGATGCACACCTAGGGTCTGGAACATTCTCTCTGGGAGTGAGCGTGAGCCACTAGACTAAAGCCCCTTCTTCCCAGGGGCCCTCACTGCTAACCAGAGTCTGGGACCTAGTTCACTCCTGATCAATGGATCCAATTTCTGCAGCTGCTGGCTATTGGCTGTGCCAGGAAAGGGCTTCACTAAGCAAGGCATGGTCCCTGCCCTGGAAGGGGACATCCACGCCCTGTATTACCAGGAGCCTCAGGGCCCCGCCAGCCCATGCTTGCCTTCGTGGGGGGCAATGGCGCTTTCTGAACTAAAGTCAGGGCCAGTAAAGACATCCATGTTCCCTTTTAGAAAAATGGTAAAATCATTTAGGCCTATAGTATATTCTAAATATGTTTATCCCATATTAAAACTTAATCCTTTTGGAAAGCTAAGTCATAAGAAAAGAAATTACAAAGATCAGAGCAGAAATAAATGAAATTGAAACAAGAAAAAACAAAAGATCCACAAAATGAAAAGTTTCTCTTTTGAGAAGATGAACAAAATTGAGAAACCTTTAGCCAAACTAAGAAAAAAAGATAGGCCGGGCGCGGTGGCTCACGCCTGTAATCCTAGCACT